GTCCTCCCTCTTCCCCTTCTTGAAGATGGGGACCACATTCTACCAACACACATCACATTCATCTGGGTTTAAGTCTTTTACAAACTATATTAGCAAAATGTATATTACAGCTGAATGAAAGTAGATTAATTAAAATGTGTTTACCATTAACATTAGAATTAGTCAAGGCTCATCCTCAAGTACTTCCTGAGGATGTCAGATTAATTACCACCTGTGCCTAAAAAAATCTGAAGTTCAGCCAGGATTGTTACAGCTTTTGTATTTTTACTGTGCTAGTACCTTCTTGCAGGCTCTTATGTCAACAGCTAGCTCTCTATTATGTACTTAGAGTACAAGCAGGCTCTGAAGTGGACCTGGCTCCTTATCTGCAGCATTACACACACAAGTTCTATTAAAAAGCTTTTTTTTAAAAAATAGAATAGCAAGTATTGGAGTTACAATTTTTATTCCCCTGAACTATATTGTATTAGGAGAACCTACACACATATCAGGTTATCATCACAGATGTTTTCTTTAGAAGTTTTTAAGGAAGGACCCACAGTAGTCTTTACAGTAGGGGAACAGTATTTGGTATGACTTTTTTAAAGCTTCTGCAAGGAAAATGAATAAGAACTGAGACTATTTTCACCATTTTCCTTGGTCCTCTCCCCACTCCCATTCATACAAGGGCATATTGGCTTTTAATGATTTAATGACATTGAATTAAGTGATCACTTGGTGCAGTACTGGGGCTTTGTGTTTGCTGATATTCTTATGTAATTCTGTGGAATATCACTGGATAGTTTCCCTACCTCTTGGTCCTATAAAGATTCGAGATGAAATGATGGGAATGTCTCCCTTATTATCATGTCATGGCTGCTTAAAAAAGCAAGACAGACTGAGTTCTGATTCCTTAAGACAGACTCCCAACATTAGCTCAGCATTCAGCATCAAGTCTGCACTTGTCATCAGATACTCCCCTCCTCTTCCTGTCAGCATTTCAGTCAAACCAATGAACACAACCAAAATAACTTGTCAGGTATTGTTGATAAACTTTTTACTAATAAGGATTATTATTTTTTTCTGCGGAGGTAGTAACTACATGCAGGTTCTATCAGGAGGCACAGTATTCATCTTTTGATTTATAAACATAAGATACTCCAGTTCAAGATGAAAAACTGTTTCGAATTCCAGTATTTCCATTATATTCAAAATTTAAATCAACATGGAAGATACTCTAACAGTTTAGTTTTGCTCTCTTGACAATTTTTGAAGTCATTAAAATACATAGGAGAAAAACGCCACTCATTTGAAGTCTCAGCACAAAGTTATTAGAAAGAGAAGAATTTTAAACATGTTTCTTGTAGTTTTATACAACAGAAGATGGTCAAAGTACATTTTTGACATAGCAAAGTATATGGTCATGCACAGGAAATCTGTGATTGGAAACAGTGACTATTAAGTAATTTATTCAGTAAACTAGTTTAGATGAGTGAAAAGCTTATACATGGGGAGGAAATACAGAAACAAGGACATAGACTTTCCAAGTTAGTTTCTGTACTATAAAATTTTCTGTCACGGTTTTCAAATGACGATTGAAGATTCTGTTACAGCAAATACTTATGCATATCCTTAACTACTGGGAGTAAATTCAGTGTCATAGCAAGAACATTAAGCAAGCTCATAAGTGTTTGCATGATCAGGATCTAACTCAGCTAACTATGTTACATTACTTTAATGTGCAATGAGTATACACTTCATTATTGCATATCAATAATTTTTCATATGCAATCTGAATTTTCCCAATACATGCTCTGAATTTTGAATTTATCAACACTTTTATTTTATTGGGATGCACCTATTCTGTAATAGAAACCTAGACAAGAGAACTGTAGATAGATAATTTATCTTAAGTTAATAGAAAGATACCAGTTATAATATATTTCTTTATCAGTCATGAGACTATTAAAAAGAGAATTGTTACAGAGATTTGGGCAAGGGTGTAGATGCAAATCTACCCTGCCTTCTCCTTAACTTCAGGCGGACGCAGCTAATTACATATCAAGGGACATAGCATCAGGAACTACCTAGTTTTAAATTAATTAAAAAAAAAGTTTATGTCTTGGACAAAACATTTAATCTGTAGCTCAGTTTTCACAAATGTAAAACACAAACAATAATTTCTTTAATCTTACAGGTGGTGATGATTAATAGGTAATGTCTCCAGACTAGTTTGAACATGAAATGTAGTCTACATAAGTGCTGAATTGTACTATAGATATTCAAGTATCTGTGCTTCCAGGAGACATGTTTAAAGAAAAACTAATCCTGCATTTATACAACAGCCCATGATATTTCCTCTTATTAAAAAATAAATCGAAAGTATTAGGGCCAAATTCTATTACTGTTTGATGCGTCCCCTGCATGTGCAGCTGCAGCAGAGGTGGAGGCGCAATGTTGTACCTCTTACTGCAGCTGTGCTCAGGGGATGCATCGCTAGGGCACTGTGGAGCTTGCAGTGGCAAGCAGCTTTCCAGCTTGGCCCCACTCTGCCCTGCAGTATTGGGTTGCACCTGCTGGCCTGCAGAGGCTTCAGGGGAGGGTAGCAGGGTGTGAGCCCAAGCCCACAGCGGGAAACCCACCCCCACCCCACCCCTCACACATGTCCAGGGGACATGGGCCCCTTCTGCCCTGAGGAGAGTGCACAGTAGCAGGGACCCAGCTCTACCCTGCCCAAGCCTGCAGTGGGCAGGCAGCAGGGTGGGAGGGGGAGCTGGGCAGGGGGCTGTAGACCCAGGTCCCTGGCCTTATAACCCTGGCAGCTGGGGCCCCTCTGGAGGCAGGGGTCTGTAAGTGGGGGGTTGAGGGGAACCAGCAGGGCCAGTGCGGCTTTGGGCAGGAGTGAGGGGCCTTTCATTTTAATCACAGATTTTGGGGTTTTTATCAGAGAATATGCAATTTTTTTTAATCAGGGAAAACCAGGACCTCTGCTGATTATAGAAACTGGAAGATTGGCAGACACTAAACTTAACCAGTTTCCCTTACTATATAGGCAATGTAGCTTTACAAGAGGCCTTTAGGAGAAAACTACATACTGCTGTATGTGTGAATTTCTTTGCATGTTTTAATGCTTACCAGTGTAATATGCATAGGTTGCCTTGACAGACCCTATATCCCTCAGATTACAAAAAATGCCTTGTTTAATGCTTTTTAAAGTCCTGATAATAAACTTCAAATTCCATTGTCCACCCCTGTGCAATATTCTCACAGAGGTAAATCATGTAAATCATTTTCTGTGGTTTACATAACTTGTCACAAACTGTATTTTAAAAATGATACTTAATCAACTATAACATGTAGTGTTAATGGAGCTAATAAATCCTTCCTCTGAATAACATTGCCACTTTCTCTTGAGGTTTATAACAGTCTAATATTATTCTGAATCTCTTGTTGACCAAGTAGATAGATTTTGGTATGAACTCAATTATAAATATTAGAACTATTTTTAGTCTTGTAACTTGCTGTTCTGTTGTGCACACTCTAGCATCTTAGAACCCTCCAAATTATATCTGGAATCACAGTATTCAGTTGCTGTTATAATTTTAATCAATAAGATAATTGCTATTAGTGTGTGTGCGCGTACATATGTATGTATGTATGTGTGTGTGGCCTGAGAATTTTGAAATCAACACTCTATGTACTTCTTTTAATCACAGCAGAGATTAACCACATACCAGTTCAATCCACCATATGAACTACGAGAAGTACATGCCACTAACTCCTCGTGTCTCAGGGATCACATATCCATCCTACTGCAAACATGCACATCTCAAATATAAAGAAATGCTGCATCTTGGAATGAAACATTGGTGAGGAAAATACAGAGAAACTGCTTATTTTTTTCTATCTCTTCTTTGTTTTTATTTCCTGAAACTCAAACAGGCCCAAATTCCCCACATGTATAACATCTCTGTACCTCTCCCTTTAAGCTAACCCCTTTTATATCTTTCTTCCTGTGACACAGAGCTGTGATTGTTTTTTTGGGGGGGGGATTAGTTCAATGAGAGCACTCATATAAGTTCTGTTACATTTAATAACAGAATTATCAGGAAAGCCCAAATTTCAGTGTCACAGTAAGTTACAGGTATATTGCAAAGTCAGTTTCAAACTGCAGATACTTCATTACCCAGAAAGGACCTGATATTTCGGTTGGTTGCTATATTCTCTTATTCCATTAATTAAGTTTTATTATCTCCATTCCTTGTATCTTTAGGCAGTAAGTATCCTTCTCTGACTTCCCCATCTATACAAAAACATCCTTGGTCCTTTCCACAGTTCCAAGAATCTTCCTACTTTTTCACCGTGAGCTTTCTCCTTGATAATTTTCTGTTCATCAAAGATTATCAGATCCTAATATACATTTTCAAACTTGTAAATATACATCCACTACAAGCTTTTCTCTCAGAATTATAGAGAATATATACATAGTAGTATGACTGAAAGATCATTTAATTAGCAGAAGATGCACCCCATATTATCTTTTCACCATCCTAAAATGAACTACAGTACTTGTTGTCTATTGCACTTGGGTGTGCCCATTACTTAGTTAATTATTGTGACATTCTTTGAACACACAAATTCATGTATGTAGTTATAATTGTACATTAAACATGAAAAAATAAAATCCATTACAATGACATGTTAGAAAATGATGCAGAGCCAACTCTTCTATATTTTTAGAAGCAGAAAAGCTAAGTTCCAAAGTTTTCTGATGTTATGAACCTAAAATTATAGTTGTGAAACTGGAAGTCATTTTTTCTCCATAGTATGAGATGAAATGCTGCTATTTGGAATGCTGAAGGTTCATATTTAACCCCTTGAATAGCTTAATAGGGCTTTGGGAATTCATTTTTTTAAACTGTAAATCTGAGCTAGAATTGATGTCATTTATATATTCTCTGATTATATCAACCTATTTCTAGACCTGTGGTTGTGAGAAGAACAGCAGAAAGGGGGTGGGGGAAGGCATTCCAACAATCTTATTTTAGTAATTTTGCCATAGCAAACACAACAAAAGAAGTCCCAAGACTGAAACGCATGTCTCTTACAAAGTGGGTTCATCGTGCGTTTTCAGAAGGTCGTAGGTCTGAATTCCACTGATGTCTTACATTCTAGTCCTGCAGCAGAGGATGGGAAAGTGTGAATGAAAATTCTGCTTGTAGGCTGAAGCTCATGGAATGATTTAGTGTATATTTTGGCACTAATTGTTTCAGAGTGAAACATGAGAAGCACTGAAACCGCAGAAAAGCCCTGCTTTGACTGTGCATTAGGGATGAATCTCCTCCGGTTCTCTGCAGTACAGGAGAATCTTGTCCTATTTTATATATTCATTGTTTATAACAAGCTGAACTAGTGCACTACTATTGCACAGGGCCAGAATGCTTTTAGTGCCTTTGCTAAGTAAGGTCCATGGACCAATATCTGCCTTTAAGGTTCTCAGAAACGTTGCAAATATTATTGCAGTTAAGGAGCTAATTCTGCACAGAGATCTGTGCAGGGTATTTCGGTGGGAGCCACATCAATCTTAGCTTCACACACTCCATGATTTAATCTATATAATACAGGTGTCCTTCACTTCGTGCTGTACCTGCGTTCCTGGAAAATGACACATAACTTGAATTTGCATAAAGGAAACCCACTTTACAATGTAACAAACAGGGATGTGTCCAAGACCTCGACTATACTGACCCCAGACCCACTTCTACCACTTTTCCAAAACAGTTTTGGTACTCACCAACAGCAGACAGTACACAGAAGGACAAGATGGTGGTGAATGTTACCATAATGGGGATGGCAACTACAGAAACACGTGTCGCGGACAATGAGCGAGAAGCACAGATCCACACAGGAAACTATATTCTGGTGTGCATCACTCCCACAATGCACCGCACAAAACAGCTGACTGTGGGCTTCCACCACACTGATCGCATAAGAGTGCATTTACCTCGCACATGATGAATTTTGGCATAAAAAAGGTCATTGCATAAGAGTGAATTCATATATACAGAACCTGCATAAAGTGAGGGAAACCTGTATCCCCTTGTTGAGTTCAGGTAGCTGTGTTTCTGTCTAAACAGTAGTTTACCCACATCTAGGGTATCCTCTTCATACAAGGCAGATGTTTTTATCCAAACATAAATAGATAAATAAGTAAAAATAAGTAAAAAAAGTAAAACAAATGATTTCAATATGGCACATACATAAATACTATAGATACATGGTACATTGTATTATACAGTGTGATAATCTAGTTAAAGACTATTGTAATTCTGTAACGGGGAACCCTAGCCCTATCACCTAGAAACAGGGTGGTCCCTTTAAATCCAGAAGCTTCTGGGCACAGCTGGCCGGTTGAGTAGGGGTTAAGGATTGAGCCCTGCCAGCTGGTCAGGTGACAGGAAGGGAAAGGCCAGAACCATATAAACTGCAGATGGAGAAGGCCAGAGAGGCAGCAGGGAGGGGGGATTCCTGATAACTATGGTGCAGCTGCAGCAGCCTGTTTGGGAAGATTATGCTATGCTGTGAGACAGAAGCACAATCACATAAAGTAAGCAGGCACTTTGCCTCTCTTATTTCTTTATTATTATTTTCATTATATGGCCATAGGAGCCTATGGTTTATATTTGATGTTAAAAACACTGGTGGTTTGTGGCTGAGGCTGTAGGGGTGGAGGAGGCCAAGGGGCACTGTGATAGAGGACTCAAGAAGCCCTGCTGTACTAGTGGTGCTGCGCTAAGGCCACATGCCCAAAGTTGCGTGAAGTGGAGATAGGAGCCTTGAAGCCAAGTCCTAGTGGGTGGACTTAGGCGAAAGGCCCTAACTACAGAAAGAGGGGCAAAGCTGAAGGGGGCTGAGGCCCCAACAGTCTGGCATCACAGGGGGGACACACAGTATAGAAGGGGCAGTAGGCCTGGTGTCGCAGAGAGCATGGAATGGAGGGTTTTGATCCCAAGTGACTTAGAGAGCTAGAGCCTCGGAGTCAAGCCCCAATTAGTGGGTTTTGACTGACAGGCCTTGCTAGAGAGAGAGGGGGTAAGCCCACAGCAGCTGAGACCCTGACATAAAGAGAAATTTATAAAACTATCTGTGAGGCATGGGGGATGTAGGAGCGTGCATTTTTGCCCTTAAGGCAACACCTCATTATCCTATGGGTGATGAGCCTGGGGCCATCTGGGAACCTGTGGGCCAACCTCCCCCT